TTTTTTTTTTTTTCCTTTCCATTCGCCCTGCTGTGTATTAAATGCTTTCTGTGTAACAGGCACTAAGGATTAAGATTTGAAGGACATTTGCACTGTCTTCAGGGAGATCATAGTCTGTTGGGTCAGTTAGACGTGTGAACAAATATTTATTTTATTTTAATATTTTTTAAATGTTTATTTATTATTTTTGAGAGAGAGAGAGAGAGAAGAGAGAGAATGAGCGGGGGAGGGGCAGAGAGAGAGGGGGACACAGACTCCGAAGCAGGCTCCAGGCTCTGGGCTGTCAGCACAGAGCCTGATGGCAGGGCACGAGCTCACGAACTGTGAGATCATGACCTGAGCTGGTCCAGCCCTTAACTGACTGAGCCACCCAGGTGCCCCACAAATACTTATATGAAAAAGTGCGGTAAGGAAAGAACTATTGAACTTGAAGAAAATACTCCAGTTACCAGAAGGGGAGCCGTGGGGCAGAGACGGCACACTTGTTTCCTGCTGTCCTGGAGGGCACGTCCGCAGCAGTGAATAGAGCAAGGAGGTGGCTTCTGAGTCAACACGCAGGAAAATTTGAATTAGAGTGGCCAACTAGAATTGACTGGCAAGGGGATGGATCCGTTTTTCTCAGACATAAAGTTGGGAAATTTGATCATTTTAGGTGTAGTTAATGACTTTAATTTTTTTTTTTTACTTTTATATTTTATCATCCTAAAAGATCTCATACTGTCTACTTACCTGGAATTCTAAAGACCTGAGAGATTATAAAAGAAAATCCATTGTGCCGTGTCCCAGATTGTTTGTGTGTGTTTCTTAAATTATTTTTCTTAACCGAATACCTGTAGTTCTTTAGATTTAACCACGTTTCAATCTTAGTATTTGAATGTTGCGCCGTTTGGGACGTCACTAAATATAAAACATACCGTGATTCTTTTCATAATATGCTGAATGACGGGAAGTTTTAATGTGTTTTATAAAAGGATGGCAGGTAGAGCAGATGCCATAAAGGAGAAATTGGAACAGATTTGGCTACATAACACTTTAAAGTTTTTGTCTTGTTTTCGTTTTTACAGAAAACAACAATATAAACCAAGTTAAAATAAAAACCGTACTGTGGAGCAATATTTTCAATTTATGTAACAAAGTATCCTTAATATGTTATCCTTAATAGCAAACAAAATACCACAAATCAGGACAAAACAGTAGAAAAATAGGCACTGTGTGTTTGGACAGTTCACAGAAGAAATGCAAATGGCAAATAAATAGAACATAGTAATTATCAAAAAATGCAAATTAAAACAGCAGTGAGAGTATCTGTCCATCAGATTGCTGACAATAAGGCGTTTGTTATATGCTAATTGAAAGGGTCTGGGAAAATGGGTATTTTCATATGCTGTTGGCGAGAGTATAAATTAGTACAATCTTTTTAGAGGGCAATTTGACAACTTCCAGCAAAACTTTAAAAGTTTATGTCCCTAGACTCAGGGATACCTCCTAACAGACTCCCCGCTCCCCCCCCCCACCCATTCCTAAGCTTTAATAAGAGTTAAAAGTAAAGTTACAGAGGGGCGTCTGGGTGGCTCCGTTGGTTAAGTGTCCAGCTTCAGGTCAGGTCATGATCTCACTGTTCGTGAGTTCAAGCCCTGCGTTGGGCTTGGTGCTGACAGCTCAGAGCCTGGAGGCTACTTCAGATTCCGCATCTCCCTCCCTCTCTGCCCCCCCCCCCCCCCCCACTGTCTGTCTGTCTGTCTGTCTCTCTCGAATAAATTTAGCCAGGAAACAAAGTTGTATAGAAAGTGGAGAAAAGAGAACGAAAATAATTTTAAGGAATTCTTCCTTCTTTTCTTCCTTGGGATGAATTAGAGATGTTCTTTTTTCAGTGTCAAACTCCAATATTCACCTTTCAGTGATACAAATATTAGACATTGGAATACAGAAGCTACAGTTAAACATATATATATATGTATATATATATGTGTGTATATATATATATATACATATGTAAAATATTCTCAGTGTCTTTTCTTGATGATTCAGAATTATTTCTGAATGTTATTATATCGGATGTGATTTGAGAACTCTTATTCAGGAATCTTCCTTGATTTGACATACTAAAAAAATAATGTAATAATGTAAGAAATAATGCCTTTATAGGAAATATTTCCTCTTTACTTAAAGAGGTATACGGGATAATTTTTTTCTTCTTTACCTCCTTTTAAGCCACTTGTATTAACTATCAGGAATACCTGTTCTCAATAAAAATAAAGTAAGTTTTGGGGGAAAATAGTTCCACCAGAAAAGAACAGCTACTGGAAACCTGTAAGCTGAAGAATAACTGGAGCTTGCACAATGCTTTAGAGACTCGAGAAAGCCCAAGCCTTCAAAGAAAGGTTAATCTGGTCCTACATAAAGCCTACCTTATACTCAAAAAAGCTTAAAAACAAAGTATAAAGTATCATGCTGATTTTTAACTAAACCAACTGCCTTCCTGAACAAAGCTTAGCACTCCTAAGGATGACAATAAATACAGACAGTCAACCGTGTAGCATGTGTAATGCAATATTACTTAGAAGAAGTAGTAGGAAAATATGAACCAAAACTAGGAAAAAATCTGTCAGTAGAAACAGACAAATGACAGTTTATAAAACTAGCAGATAAGTTCCTTATAAGCAGCTAGTTACAGTGTGTTCAAGGACTTAAAGGAAAACATTATTATACTGAGAGAAGAAATAGGGAATTTTAGAGCTGAGAATTCTAGACCTGAAAAGTGTAACATCTAAAGTGAAAAATTGACTGACTGGGTTTAACTCTCAGTTGGACACCCCAGAGAGAAAGATCAGTCAACTTGAAAAGAGTACAGTAGAAACCATCCAAACTGACGCACTGATAGAAAACATTAAAAGGCTAGAAAAAGATGAAGAGAGCCTTAGTGAATTGTGGCATAATATTAAGCAAACTAAAGTAGGTATAATAACTGGAGTGTCATAATGAGAATGAGTCAGAAAAAATTTGAAGAAATGAAACAAGTTTTTCCAAATGTGATGGAAAACATGAACCCACAACCCAAGAAGCTAAATAGCTCAGCAGAGAAAACCATACCAGAGTATACGTACCATCATCTTATCATTGAAAACCAGGGATAAAGAGAAAAATCTTGAAAGCAGCCAGAGGGAAAAAGACATATTGTGTATAGGATTCGAATGATGGTTAAGTATACTACGGACTTCTTATTAGAAACAGTGCAAACGAGAAGGCAATAGAATATCATCTTTAAATGTCTACTTTGTTCATCACATGTATCTTTCAAACTCAACGCACAAAAAATACATTTTCTGATAAACAAAAGTAGAGAGGACTTATTACTAGTATACTGCACTGTAGGAAATGATAAAGGAAGTCTGTCAGGCTCAAGGAAAAGAATACCAGAAGAAAACTCAGATCAACACAGGAATAATGAGTACAGAAAATGCTAAATATCAAAGGTAGTGGACCGTTTAAAACAAAAATACTAACAGTGAATTGTGGAATTTTTAACACATAGAAATGAAATTTATAAGAAATGCACAAGAGGTGGAGTGGGAAGGAAGTAGAAATACATATTTATGATGTTACAAGGTTATTATATAATATAATAATATTTTTTGAAGGTAGATTGTGAACCTTGCAGCCAGCTCTCAAATGAACAAAATTATCTAACATTCCAATAGTCAAGATAAAATAGAATGCTAAAAAAGCAATTATATCAAAACAAGGCAGAAAAAGAAGGGAAAAGAATAGAAGGGGAAAATCTAAAAAAAAAAATAATAGCAGGATGATAGACTTAAATTCAGCCTTATAAATTATTATATTAAATGTAAAAGAACTGTATACTTCAGTTAAAAGGCAGATTAGATTCTTAGATGAAAAAGCATGGCCCACTGTCTGCTGTCTATAAGAAATACACTTTAACAGTAAGGATACAGATAGTTTAAAAGTAAAATCGTAACAAAGCTAAAGTAGTTGTATTAGTATCAGAAAAATTAGACTGCAAGACAGATACCAAAGATAAGGAGGTACGTTTTACAATAACAATAGAATCAATTCGTGAAGAAGATATAATTATCAATGTGTGCATCTAATAGCAGAGCTTCAAAAAATAAGCAGTATAAGTTCATAGAATTGAGGAAGAATAGATACACTGACAATTGTAGGTAGGTTATTTCAACACCCCTCTCAGTAATTGTTAGAAAAAGTAACCAAAAATCTGACATGGTGTAAAGGAACTGAACAATGCCAGCAATCAAACCTAATACATATAGAATACCACACACATTTATAGAAGGT